TTGAGAGCAGCAACAGCGGATTCGGATTTATTTTTTACAATCACAGGACATGTATGGCTGCCGTAGTGATAAACAGTAACCGTCTCTCGAGCATCGTTAAATTCCCACACTTTTCTGGCCTTGCAGGGAAGGTGATCGGCTGTTATTCCACAATACTTACAATTATTTTTCTTGTCAAAATGCACGGTATTTTGTCCCCATTGTTTTCTGAAACTACAAAGCAAATTATTGCAGAGAAACGAACCTGCACAGTGGGCTAGTCGACGCATTCCTTTAAATCCAAAACGTTTAGAGAGCATATATCTCTTCCATTTACGACCGTCAACAGAAGAGCGCATGCGATAATTTGCATCAAATGGTAACTCGTAAACCGAATTTCCATCAATGTCAAGTGGGAGAGCTGTGCATTTCGTAATAGGAACATCTTCCCAAACCTCAGGTGTTAATTTTTTGGGGGAAACATTCCCTCGTTTACCTTTTTCCAAGTCGCAATCGGTGCTAGAGTTGTCAGAATAAGTAGTACTCATACATTCATCAGAGTTTTCCGATTCCGATTCTGAATCTTGCTTCCGTTCCTTCGGTGGTTTGCCTTGACTGCCTTCTGAATCCGATGGCACAAGAACGGTGCTTTCTCTTTTAACAGGCGAGTCGACAATAGTGACCGTGTTTTCAATATTACGCTTGAACATATCAGCATTCAGAACTGCCTCATAATGCTCTCCCAAACGAACGAGCGTAACACGCCTCTCGGGAACTTCGCTATGTCTAGTTGGTGGAATTTCGTGTGTTTTCAGTACGCCATTGTGAACATAATAGATTGATACTAATGAATTAGTACAATTTGCAAGGGCGTATATGATCAAGTCGACAATGTTTTGATTGTACTTCCTTTCCCTCTTGTACTTGTCCAGTTCGTATGAAACGTTAGTATATGACGTGATCTTGTCAGAATAAAATGGCAGATTGTCCTCAATCTCGTAACAGGCGCAATGTAGAAGCTTGAAATAGCTTTTCAGTGGATAATGGTATTTATTAGTTAAGACTTTAAAGAATGCTCGAACAAGGCAATGACCATCCGAAATTATAGGTATCCTAACTTGATTGTCTTTTTCCAATTCATTGTCAATATTAATTGATTCATCAAATTGATCACTATAAAATAATCAACAGTGCATGTGATGTGACGAGCCTTTATAAAGGAACACATGTTAAATGAGCCCGTTCTTACATAGCTTGAACATGCAATCAGAACTGATTGGTTTAAGGCAACTCCTTAATATTTTTTGTGCAGATTAATCAATATTTTTGCACAAATAACAACGATAAATTTTCTAACTCGTTAATATTAACGTTTGAATACTACTATTGAAATATAAGGGTGTGGCCAATATTTTCTATTTTTGCAGGCCACACAGAATTAATATGCCCAAACATTACCTGCACTCCTCCCTTCCTCCTCCTCCCATCTCAGATAAAACAAGGGCGGATTTTCAATTTTTTAAAGGAGGGGTGGAAAAATTTCTAGTGGGGTGCAAGCGGCATCACTGAGCGAGCTTGGGCAGAGGTTAGGCAGGTTAGGCATTAGGGTTAAAGACTTCCACACAAAATAGGAGGGGTAAAGCAAAATTTTGGTGAGGTTGAACACTTCATAACAGGGATTAGAGAGATTCCTTGGGGGGGGGGGTTAACCCCCAGTAAATCTGAAAATGAAACAAAACTTGAGGTATAAAAATATTGTTATTGATAAATATTTATTGACAAGCAATCTTGGGCAATCCTCAAGCAATCTCAAACAATCTTAAACAACATGGTAGGTTTAACTATTCAATAAAAGAGTGCAACAGTACAAAATTCAAGATACTGCATGCAGCTGCAAGCTACCATTTATGCAGGAATGGGATTTTTAGGATATTTTCAGCAGGCTTACTTTTGTGGCATGCCCCCCCCTCCCAGAAACTTTGGGATTTATTGAAGCTCAGATAAGCTATTTCCAGCATTTTGAGGAGTTTTTCGACAGGAAATTAACCTTACACTAATCCATGAAAATCAAACCAGCTGATCTGGGACTGGTCAAATCGATTCCCACAACCATGCTGTTTTGCAACATTTTTCCCACCAAATACTGGGGCAGGATATTTTTTCCCCCAGTTTGTTAGTGCAGGTATTTTTTTGGTTCAAAATAACCTTGCAGGAATTTTTTTCAAAATCACCTCCCCCCCTCCCTCAAAAGTTAAATGGTCGGCCCCTAATGCTTATAATGCTCTCACAAGTCACAATCAAATTTTCGAATTCCTTAGAAAAAGCTCGAAAATTCCTCCGATTTCTTTGGTAAAAATTACTACAAGGCCTGGTCACATGAATTCCTTAAAAAAATCCTTAAAATGTTTATTTTTAAGGATAATTCCTTAAAAGTGAGAGCGCAGAATAGCACTTTACATGCACACATAATTAAATTATTTGAGTAACAATTAAAAAAACGGAAATTTGGAAGCCAAACGTTTTAGTTTAGGCGGTTAACGTTTGGGTTTATGCCAAACCCAAAAGCTGAATGTTGATCAATTTTTAAAATGTAATAAGGTATTTATATATCAATCTACTCTCAAAAATTGGCAGCCATATTTTGCAAAATCTGCATATTATTAAACAAATATTGATGCATGCATATATATTAATACTGTACATTACGCGTAAAAATGTTTACAATATTATTAAATCATGAATATATATTGTAAAATACAAATAATTGAAATCAATTTGGCATTGCCAAAATATATATGGAAAACTTGAAATATTGAGTTTCCTTTTGTCATTAAATTGTTTCATAATGCCAAGAAACTTTTATACACGTTTATAATACGTTATAAAGCTATAAACTAATAAATATTTATACCATTTATAGTGTGAATCGATAAATATTTATATAAATAAAAGGCGACGTAAACTTTTAAAATATTCACGCACCATGTCATCGGATGATCTAAGATATACCTCCTGGTGTGGTTCGTAAATATATCATAGAAAATATATTGATAATACAATCAATTAGCAAGAATAAGTAAGTTAATAAAATGTATAAAACACTCACAATGAACTTGAAATGTCAACCAGCTCGACCTCCATTCTTGGCATTTCTTGCCATGCGGCACAATTGGCAGGTAGAAAGCCTTCAATCAGGTCCATTGATCGGGCCAGAATTACCGTCGCTTGCAACTAAGGATGAACAGTTGCAGATAAAACCCATATTTGATAGTTTCAATTCGTTCAGTCAATCACAGGCGGCCCAATCTCTGAACGTCCTATATATTTTGAATACTTGATTTAACCGTTATAATATTTTAAAAAAACAAAATAATTCAAAAAATATTAACAATATATGTAAAAAATATATCTCATTTGTTAATAGAATCCATTTGTTGTGTTTCTGAGTCTAGTTGATGCGATTGCTTTACGTTTTCGTCGTACTTGAACGGTCGTCAGTACTATGGCACTGGACGACATGGCCGTATATGACATAATTAAATAACTACAAGGCTAGCCACTTATCTGATATACTCTCCGACATCGAGTCCAATATCTCCAGACTCGTCCCCAGTCGTTATTTGAATTTCAATTTTATAGGAACGAATAGGTATATACACCGTTTCTCGTGACAGAATAACTCTTTTGGAGTTGATTCAACTCCTTAAAATTTACAGTGTATATATATATATATATATATATATATATATATATATATATATATATATATATATATATATATATATATATATATATATATATATAGATCAGTACCAAATGTGGACGCGCGCAAGAGGAAAAGGGAAGGCGAGGAAAAAATAACGACTGGCAGATTACAGAGACAAAATGGCGGACAATTTGACAACAAAAGAGGAAAGACTATTTTAATATACACCACAGAGCGTTTTTAGCTGATAAACTCCCTTGTCCGCATGAGGAATGTCAGTATAATTTATCTTGCTATGATCAAGATGGTTTAGACCACCATTACAGGACAATCCATAAATGTCCTGTAACGTGTAACCTGTTATTTCAGGCTTTCAGCTGATTAGTGATATTAAAATTTAAAAGGCGAAAAGTCTTATTGTGCCAGAGAACTGAGAGAAGCACTCAAAGGAAACACTGTCATGTTTGGAAAAGCTATCGATTAACAACCAATCGAAGGTATTCGTAAATCTAGAGTGTTGAATGCCTTTAATTGGAGCCAGCGAGCAATATAAAAACAGGTAGGTATTTTATTCAATTTTATTTATGCGTTTATATCTTTATATTTCACGATGAAATGCACTCTTAAACTCTTTGGATTATACAGAAAACAGATTATACCGTCGAAACTTGGACTTCTATGAGGTATATCATATGGCATTTTGATATAAAAATCATTTGAATATTTATATAATGTAATTATATCTTGTTTTGTGGAACACCACAAAATATTTATTCTCCATGGTGCATTTTGTTCGGTTTTGCAGAGAATGATCTAAGATTTTGTCGACTACTTTATCTTTAATCGCGAATTGATGTGTCCAGTGAATGCTACGGTTTCCGTGTTCTTTATCTTGGACTCTTGCTCTGACTTCAAAGTCTATGTTATCACCGACAATTCTAGAAATGTGTAAAGTAAATAAAGTAAATATTGGGCGTAACACTGTTACAATTAAAGTATTACATTGACTCTGGTATTTACAATGTAATTCTAATTTAATTTGTTAGTATACGTAAAATCGTAGCGTGTATTTCAATGAAGTTATTATTTTTGCACATAGAACAATTTTTATCTTCTCTCTTTCAAATCGATTTATTTTATTACCTGTACTGAAATCGACACATACCAATAGACCTTTCCATAGCTTCTACCGCCATATTGCAGGGGGTGCAAAAACATTGGGGCGAGCGCGCGGCCACCAATGGCGCCCATACTATTTCCCATTGAGTGAGTGAAAATTACCTTTTGACATTTTGTCCTTTTTCTCAAAAAATTTCTATACAAGCATATCCAATTTTTATTTTTAGATAATCGCTGCGTTTTTTCTGATATGTGGCCGAGACTTCTTACTAATCGAAGGACAGGAAGTAATAAAAAACGGCGACTTTTGTTGCACAACTTGACCGACGTTTGAGCGATGATTCTTGTTATTTCATTTGTTTAACCGATCTTTGGAAAAATATTTGTCCATTAAGTGTGTAAGTCCTTTGGTGTCCGCCATTATTACTGTTTATATTTGTATATTTGTACAAAAATCATCGCTCAAACGTCGGTCAAGTTGTACAATAAAAGCCGCCGTTTTTTATTACTTCCTGTCCTTCGATTAGCAAGAAATCTCGGCCACATATCAGAAAAAACCCAGCGATTATCTAAAAATAAAAATTGGATATGCTTGTATAGAAATTTTTTGAGAAAAAGGACAAAATGTCAAAAGGTAATTTTCACTCACTCAATAGGGAATAGTATGGACGCCATTAGTGGCCGCGCGCTCGCCCCAATGTTTTTGCACCCCCTGCAATATGGCGGTAGAAACCTTGGAAAGGTCTATTACAGTGCATATTTACGTGTTTATTTCAAGCTACCGTTCATTGATATTTCAGGATTTCCTGACAGTGTATCTTCTGCTGCATTTAATTCTGAAAAGGCGGCAATCTTCTCTAAAGTGATACATTTTATGTAACGAACGAATATAATCATATTTATTATATACAGGATTTATTTGCAACGTTGAGGCTATGACTATGTGATGTTAACAGCTATAAATAGCAATGCAAAACGTACTAAACATGAACGTATTATCGCTAATTAAACAATAGAACGCTCGCTTACTTGTAATAAGGTATGTCATATCCCTTTAAATTTTGAATGGCTGAGAAAAGGACATCATCTGTATTAAGAGACTCTCCTAACTGTCGCTTCGTTTCATCCATTATCTCAACGCAACGTTCGTGCGCATCCGTACTGAAGTACTTGTACTGTTGTACTGCTTCAACGTCGAGATTAATCTCTTTATCTACATTCATGTCATCATCATCATCACGAGCAAGCTGGTTACAACTGAGGTCCTCCAGAAAGCGTAAAGCTGTAAGTTTTTTCTCAGCGTAATTTTTCCATATTAGTACCTTTGCGTCGAAAAATTTCCCCATCTGTCTTTGAAGATTCAACATCCGAGAATGCGACATGCATACTCCCAAACGATTCAGGCGTATAATATCTTCGTAGCTTACACCGCTATGAAAAAAAATTGTGGAAATCCTGTAGGCAATAGCAGACATTTCGGCATTTCGACCCCGGGCCAGAACAGACGTAGCTAAAGCAATAGCGTTACATTGTTTTTCGGCTTTTTTATCCACGCTTACTCCTACGCTGCCTTTAACACACGCATTCCAAAACGGGAGGTGAACCCTCAATTCTTCTAATAGCAATTTATTAGAGAATGCGACTAATTCCTCTGGCGTACGACCTCTTAGGATGGAATCAAGCTTGCTAAAAGTTTTAAACTCATTCGCAATTTTTTTGTTCAGTGCGTTTAACAATTGATCGATCAAACCTTCACACTTCATTATCGAAAACGCTGCTGACTTCCAGTTACACAATGCAATATTTCGAACAATAGACCTTGCGTTCGGATCTTTCACATGTCGCATAATAACATCTCCATTCGGTTGTTTTATCACCACGCTAACATCGCTTGTTTTCTTCTCCGTTGTGTTATTTAGCAAATTGATGTCTATGTTAAGTAACGACGAGACAGTTGATTCGCACGCAATGTTGTGTTTGTCGACACTTGTTTGCTCCGTCACAAACAGTGATTTTTTTACTTTCTTATGGTCTCCAGAGCTTTCGCTGTTTCGTTGTTTTTCGCAGATACGTGCTTAACGACCTTCCTTACGGTTGGACTATTTTCCGAGTCAGTGGCAATTTGGCGTTTAAATCTAGCTTCGCCTTCGGTTTCAACGAATTGTACACAGGGCTTGTTAATTGAGGTACAAATTTCGTTATACAACGAGCAACACTCTCTGATCTTTCGTGCACAACTAACAGTGGCGGCGCCAGGGGGGGGCAAGGGGGGGGGGGCAAATGCCCCCCCAAAATTATTTTTTGGCCCCCCTCAAAAAAATTTATTAGTCACTGAGAGCGACTAAAGGCTACACAAGCGTTTTGTTGTTATGGGAAAATGTATGGCTTATAAGTTGTCATTACTCATTAGTGAATGCGCGTATACATGAAACTGTCTTTTACAGTTTCAATATTAGTTTGTAAATCTCTGAATGGTAAAACTTGCCAATACTCCAATAATACGTTTCAAAAAAAGACAAAAAAGCTTTAGTTTTGCAGAGTTAAATTCTCAAACGTGTAAGGCAATAATAAGATGAAAGTATCACGAAATTATTTGAATAAACCACATCGCATATATGGGGGGCGAATGTCCTAAAGAGGAGCGATATTCCTAGGGTATTCGCCCCACCCCCCTGGGAGGCGATATTCCTAGGATATTCGCCCCCGGGGGCGATATTCCTAGGAATATCGCTACGTTTTGAGGGGGGGGGGGCGAATTTCCTGGGGGGGGCGACCTTTTTAAAAATTCTATCTTGCCCCCCCCCCAAAATTTGAGTTTGCCCCTCAAATGCCCCCCCAAATTTGGAAGCCTGGCGCCGCCACTGACAACTAACGCAAACTCTATCCGAAAAATCACTTTTTATTACAATGTCAATGCCGCTTTTCGCACACATATCTCCCAGAATAATAAGACTAAACCCATCTCGCTCGTTTCTTTCAAAAATCTTTAAAGATGCACATCTCGCCAATTTAAATCTGCATTTGCAAATCCTACAGTAATCATTTACGCTATCACGTTTAGGAGGCCTTCCTATTTTGGAAATCTTTTTCTTCGGAGTTTGTGACATTTTCCGTCAACGTAAACAACATTTTATACTTGCTATACATCTCTAACTTTTCGCGGGAATTCTAATTAATTCTCTAATTATAAATACGTAATGATTGGTTGGTTTTTGACATGTTTAGTAATATTTAAAAGTGGGCGTATTTAAAAACATGGGGTGATGGTTGCAGGCTGTCCCTCACCCTCAGACAGCCTGTACGCAAGCTACGCACACAGTTGACCATTACGTTTAATGTTTTACGCGTTGTACCTTGCAAATTTGGTAAACAAATGTGTGATGATGAAAGTTTAGTAAAAACCGGGAATATTCCGTAGTGACCAGGAATATTCCTGCTTTATATATTTCTACTATTATCAAAAATCTTATTATTTAAATACTTTCCCATATATTTTTCCCGCATCACGGTACTACATATACTTCCGGTATGCATAATTGAAATCAACATACATATGAGTCATCATTAATTTTCGTCACTGGGCGCTTCTAGCTTTTACATCGATGCTTTTTCTAATATTATATTATTGCAAACGTAGTTCTGTCCCATTAATATTAGGGAGTTTACGATCTACGACGCGGCCGGCTCGACGACGCGCTTTCAAAACAAAAAAATTTGGTGTTGCCACAAACAATAGTATTATATGTTTTATCGCCATGCAAACCTACAAAAAGTCGAAAGTCGAAATTACAGCAAACATTGCATCCCTTAGCCGAACGTAGCAGTTTGTAAGGTTATTTGAAAAAGTGTCAAATATTTATTACAGTAATCAAATTGCTTACCGCTCATTCTTGAGCTAAAATTTAGACCGCGTCCTTGAGCCGGCCGCGTCGCAGATCGTAAACTCCCTATCATCGATTCAACGATGTCTTCGCTATGTTGTTTTATCGGAGGAAAAGAAGAATACTCTTGCTGCAGCGAGGAAATAATTCGTCTGACAGAATGTCAAAGTGACATAAAACATAACCTGAAGTTCAGGCCCTAATCACAAAATAAATAATAAGACCAGAAGCACAGAATAAGGCACACAGAAGGGCCATTTACGTCGGAAGCTTTGAAGTTTCTGTCACCCTGGCCGCCATCTTCCTAGCCAGTCGATTACATTTTCTGGCCAATAAACGCGCTGTATTGGCTGGCCGCCATCTTCCTGGCCAGTCAATTGCATATTTTTGCATAGAAAAATGGTGACACGTTGCACTGCTGAGTGGCCCTTCTGGCACTGATCTTTATTCTGTGCCAGAAGTCTCACTCGATGTCGGAATCTTTGATGTTGATATCCCCGCGCATGTCGCCTCGCGCATCTTGGCCGCGTCTCGTTTCCAGTGCCCTAAACAAGTGTAATTTGACAAATTTACATGTAAACATTAAAGAGTGAGAAAGTTAAAACGATACCAATCGTGTTTTAGAGCTTTGGTGACCATTTTAAAAGAATATATGATAAATTCAAAGGTAATGCATGAGTCAATTCCAGGAGTAACCATCCCCCCCCCCCCGGGAACACACCCGGGAATTTGATTAGATTGGTTATGACAGTGTAAATGCCCGGGTGCCGGGACACAACTTGAAGACTAATGCACGGCCCCTGGGCAAGCTGAGAGTGGAAAATGCCCCACCCCGGGGACGATTTTACAGTCGATTTCACGAAACTTTGACCACAAATGTTCCGAATTTCGTTGCGAAGTTCGCAAGTTCGTTGTGAAGTTCGGAAGCTCATATTGGAATTCACAAGCCAATTTGTAAACAAAGTCCCTGATTGATCCGTGAAGTAAAAGAAGCCAATCAAATGCGTAGTTTACGAACTGGTTTGTGAATCTCATTATGAACTTTTGAACTTCGCAACAATCTTGTGAACTTCGCAACGAAGTTCGGAAATTTTGTGGTCAAAGTTTCGTGAAATCGACTGTAAACGTTAATTAGGTAGGGTAGGTAGGTAGGTAATACTTTATTTAAAATTAACAGAAAGAAGAACACGCTAGCCCCATCAACTCTAGGCTGGTTTCCATGGGGGGCGTGTTTAGATCTTAAAAATCGTTAAAAGGAAAATTTAAACTAAATATTAATACACACATACTGTACACGTTACTATATACAAATAATTAGGAAGCATGTCGCTGTCCAACAATTGATTTAAACGAATGAGGCGACTCGGCCAATTTTGCTTCGTTTGGGAGTTGATTCCAAAGCATAGCGCCGCTATATTTAAAACTTTTTTTAAGAAATTCTCGTTTCGGTTTAGGAATTGTTAGATTATTATTATTATTATTATTATTATACAATATTAGATACTCCCAATTGGGCTTTTCAGGATCTAATTACAAATATAAAATTCTATATCTATAAAAGTATCTAAAAATGAATTTTGAGTTTTGACCTAAGGTATAAAATAGGCTATAGTTCTAAAATATTCTATAAATCTGTTACACACCACTTACAGTTAAAAATTCTTCTAATAACATACGTTTGTATTCTACTTTAAAATGAGTCAAAGTATCAATGTTTTTAAGAGACTGAGGCAGAGAATTCCACAAGGACACAACCCTATAGTGAAATGTTCGTTGACCCGCAGCTGATCTGTACATTGGTATATCCAAAATGTTCTTTTGCCTTGTGTTAACGCCATGAACATCTGACCTGACATGGAACTTCTCACGCAAATACAATGGTGCCAACCCCTTCAAGCATTTGAAAGCAAAAATGGCTTCTCTTAATTTTAACATGTATTTAACTGGAAGCCAGCCCAGTTGTTGCAGAACAGGAGTCACGTGATCGTATTTTCTTGTTCCTGTAACAATACGTGCAGCAAAGTTCTGGACCGCTTGAAGTTTCTCGATATTTCTTTGGGATGTATTAGACCAAACAGCAGAGCAGTAATACATTTTGCTAAAAATCAGGGAATTTATAATAAGAATTAATGTTTTTCTGTCAAAGATATGTTTAACTCTGCTAATTTGGCCCAGTCCAGCGATACAAGATGAAACAACGCTTGCGATATGTTCGTCGTAGCTCAAACATGAGTCCAATATCATCCCTAAATCCTTTGCAACAGCAACTGGAGTAATATTCTCACCAAGGATAGTTATTTGAAAATTTTCAGGTACCTGTTCTAACATTTGCCTAGTACCTAATATAAGCAACTTGGTTTTTTCTGGATTCACCAATAAACTGTTAAGACAGCACCAGGCGGTAATTCTTCGCATGTCTTCAGTGAGTTTCATAGCTGCCAACTCGGCATCCCTGATTGAGAATGCTAAATATATTTTTGAGTCATCCACGTACGGCTCCAAATTGGACTCCTTGGGTACACCAGGCAAGTCGTTGATATATATATTAAATAACACCGGACCCAGTATCGATCCCTGCGGAACACCGCGCGTTATTTCACATTCATCAGATAACACTGACGCAATACGTACTGATTGGCACCTGCCTGTCAAATAGCTTTTAAACCAAAACAACGCAGCCTTCGAGATTCCAATATTCGAAAGTTTTCTTAGCAGAATGAAATGATCTAAGCTATCAAAAGCTTTAGACAAGTCCAGTAAGAGTAAAGCAGTCACTTCTCTACGATCCATGGAATGGAGAATTAAATCTGAGATGAATATGTTTAATGTTTCGGTTGAATGTAACTTCCTATTTCCACTTTGATGTTTAGTAAATTTTTTCTTCTTTGTTATATACTCTGTATTTCGAAGATGATAATTAGTTTGATCTATTTCTCTTCTCACGAATGACCCCCGGAGACCTGGCGCCAACCTCGTACCCAGGGCCAATCGTGAGTTGAAGGCAGCGACATGGCCCTGGTAAACGCTGGTCACGTGTCAGGCAAATACTCCAAGATTCTTGGAGTATTAGCCTGCGAGCGGGCTTTATGGAAATAAAGACAGGGGGGCGACGAAAAGTTCACGAATAGAACTTGAATTGCCGTGGATTATTTATATTCTTTTATTTTTTGTTGTAATATTTCTTTTTAATGTGTTACGTTTATATATTACGTCGAATGTACGTCAATCTTCTTTTATATCGCATCATATAAATCGCCGAGGAGGCGATGACGCGATGTTTCGGCTTTCGAAGGACAAGGATCATTTGGCATGTTCATCGACTATGTTAACCCATTGAGTGGCAGCATGCACTTTCCCCCTGACGAGTAAAATTGTCTGGCGTTAGACAGAGTAAACTAACAAAGTAGGGCGCATCTGGGTGCATTGACTTAAAAGGTTAAAACGTAAATACCACAGCACAACACTTGTACATATACAACAGCAATCCTTTTATATATTCAATAGTCATATTTACATATTGGTGAAATATCAATGTCCATATATTAGGGATATCCATGAACTTCAGAACTTGTTCCTAGTTTGAAGCTGAAGTATTCATATATCTTTTGTATCAGTTGTCCCTCTACTAACCAACTTTTAGTCATTATACAAGAGTTGAATTTGCATTCATTTGCTTCGCAAGTCGCAACAAACTGAACAAAGTACTAAACCATAAACCTGTGCAATGATCGAGCGTCTTGAGCGACATATCCACGTCTTTTAAACGTCGCATACGAACAAATCTCACTGAGTTTTTCCACAGAAAGTATTGTTCCATTTGATCGATCGCCGTACTTTGAGAAAAGCTTGAAATGCAAAATTCACAGGGAAGATTGAAGAATTTCGTACTAAAAACTGTTGGTCGTCGAGTTTCACCTCTAGAATTCACCCCCCGGATCAGAAAAGTAACAATTACGTAATGTTCGAGTCACGTGACCAGCGTTTACCAGGGCTACGTCGCCGCCTTCAATTCGCGGCTAGCCCTGGGTACGAGGTTGACCTGGCGCAGTGTGGTCGTTAAGTATTTTATACATTAATACTGACTTGGCACCAGACCGCCTATTTTCAAGCGTATCCCAAGAAAGCATGTTGAGAAGATCAGCTGAGCGAGTATCATAATTAGCACCCGTTAGGACTCTTGCTGCACGAGACTGAAATCTTTGCAACTTGTCTCTTAGCAACTTACCACAAGTGTCCCAAAGGGGGGAACAATAATCAAAGTAGGGCTGCACAAGACTTTTATAAATCGATTCTAAGGTATGCATTGGAACAAAGGGCTTTATACGTTTCATAGCGCCAGTAGCAGCGCTCGCCTTCTTGCATATCATTTCAATGTGACTATCCCAATTAAGGGTTTCATGTAGTTTTACTTAAAGGCATATAATCATAGTCATTTAATAACATTATAGTATTAAACTGCTATGGAATATTATAAAACATAAACCTTTAATAGTTGTATTTAAATTTGCATGGCAGAGGGTATAATTTTCGCTTATTCTTACAATAAATTTCACGCCACCTTGACCACGAGGGCGCAAACCACGATCAGCGCGCCCACATGCTTGCCTGAAACTAGGTTTTGCTGCCTTAAAATTTGTGGGTGGGATTCTGGGCAACCATTTGTCAAATCCCCGGGGTCCTCCAATTCCCGGCCCCCATGCACATATATGAAAGGCAAATTCCCGACCCCCGTGAACTGCCTATCGGGCAAATGCCCGGGGGGGATGGTTACTCCAGGAATTGACTCATGCATAAGTCTATCGTATTGCATTGTCTTAAATGAATTCTCAGCTAAAATACGGCAATAAATGGATCATAAATTTAGTTAAATTTATTGTTGACAACGAGGTTGACAGATCCATTGCTTTTTTTCCTTGAATAGCTTTACCATAGTCATTTTACCTTAAAATGTAGCTACCGAGGATATCTGTAAGAGGTTTTACACAGATTGTTTGCACAATCTCACGATTTAATCATGCTGATAACATGAAAATCCTTGTGCCATTGTATACTTGGCATAATCTCCACATCAATAGTTTACCAGTTCAACACTTATAAATTCAATATATTTTTGAACCAGTCGATATATTATTATACACAATGTAGACGTAGTATAGTTAATTTGACCATTGAGAAGTAAGGGGTGTATTACATTACACAGACACTGCTGAATTTTAGGTACATGCCATTGGATTGATATATAAAAACATTTGTAAAAACACACATTATCTTGTTGATAGAATAGTTATTTGCAGTATTATTTTACTAACTGTTGGCATACTCTATTTCAGGCCTATCAGCCTATCAATTGTTTTTGTCACTGGCAATCTTTGAAATACAATCTTGCTCTGTGGCCTTTACTGACAAGTTGGCTTTTACTACATATGTGGCACTGACACTTCTTTAATTAATGCACCAGTCAATGTAAACCCCCCAACCGGGGAGGGGCAGGGATTTTGACTTGGAGGGGTAGTAAAAGAGCAAAATTGTCCCGCCCCCAGGGACATCAATGTCCCCTGCATGTCTCTCAACCGCGGGAAAATAGTTTTGTATAATCATAGATCAGCAATAGAAAATCAAATTCATTTATGTTGTATTTAAACTTTTCTTGTCAAGAAAACTAAAACAGCAACACAGGATATATATATTAACCACCGTCCAAGTCTCCCATCATCGGGGCAAATTTATAATCAAAACGGACCACTTTCCCTACTAAACCTCCCGCCCCTCCCCGGTTGGGGGCAGGGTTTACATTGACTGGTGCATAACTAGATGATTGCATGAAAGTTGATTTAGTAATATGTATAATTAGTTTATGAATAAACTCGCACTTTCATTGTAGAGGTTAAGATTTGAGTTCTACTAGCACTATCTCTGACTGCCTTAGTATGCATCTGATTGGTTATAATGGTTGATCGAATATATCAAATGCATTTGATGGTCCCTTAATGGTAATGGTAGTCAAATCTGAACCTCTATAATGTCAATGAAGAATGCATACTGGAAAAGTATCAACTTAAATTTTAATTGTCAAATTATGTTGTGGAAAGTAAATAAATCGAACAATTCTGTTTGTTTCAACTAACTAGTTCACTGTCACTTTGGTTTTCAAATCAAAGAATCTTTAGCCTGGTTGAGCTTTTGAAAAAGTAGCTACTTTAGTGAACGCAAGATTATTTTACTCTGTCTAACACCAGACAATTTCACTCGTCAAGGGGAAAGTGCTGCCACTCAGTGAACTCAATCAGAGCTCAATGAGCAGCAGCACTCTCCCTCGATAAGTAAAATCATCTGGCATTAGATGAAGTGAAATAAACTAGTAAAGTAAGGTGCATTGGGGCACAATGCAGCTTACTGGGTTAACTGGAAAATATATTTATTTAAACAATGCACACCCTATACTTGTATTTCAATTCATAGCATGATTTGGTATGCTTATGTCCATTTGATCCAAGTACCAGATAGGAATGATATTTGAATCACACCTGTATTCATTGAACAAAGCTAATTTAAATGTACATTAATTGTACATGAATCATGTAGATGTAAAAACTAGAGCAAAAACACACCCACACAGCTTTGTTTTTTATTTTTCTTGAGAAGGAATAACTGAGTTACAATGAGACCAGTATCAACAATTTCAAAAATGTATTGTACAAAAATATTACAAACATAAGACACTTTAAAGACAGAAAACACACAAAGTATGTCACTACAGAAACTGTATTCTGTGATATAGACGATATTGCTTTAAGGAAACTTGCAGCTTTTAAGGGCCTGTTTATATCAAAACTGGCTGGCCCGCTAAGTGAGACAGCCCGGTAAGTGAGATCTCACTGTCTACTTATTTTTATAGTAAAAATTATAATTAAAATTGTTTCTATGTACAAGCGGGAGGCCCTGTTGCAGAGACCAGGATGGAAATTTTTCCATATAAACAATCACAAGCAGGATAGCCCAGTTGCCAGGATGAATGTTCAACGATACTGCCGCAAGCTATTTTTAACAACTGTCAAAACAATGTCAAAACAACAAAATTGTCCCGGTAAGCAGGATGAAATTTTCTCAAATAAACACAAGAGAAATCATCCTGCGTATCTACCTTACCGGGCTGTCTCGCTAAGCGGGCCAGCCCGGCTTCCATACAAACAGGCCCTAACAGTCTCTGTCAGGCAATTACAATGTTCTAATGTCCAAACTCTAAAGTATTATAAACAAGCAGGACAGACCACTTATTGCAAGTTGCTAGTATTAAAGTCATATCAACATGTGATATCGACATTACAGTGTATAAACTAAAGTAATTCAGCTTCTACACATGAAGCAACTTTAAACACTATCCTTACACTTTATCAATTCATTGAAGTTTGTACTTAAAAGTCATTCTATTTGTAATTTATTAAATCACAAGACATATTCTATTTGTCAGTATCAAGTCACATCAGGATTTTATAATCTAGCGTTTTTGGATCCAAGTGATCTAGAGTTCTATCTTGTTAAAACCTATCCAAGGAAAAACAAGAAAGGGATATTGAAGTAATGGTGTTTTTGAGCCAAATAAATTCGAATATCCACCAGTATAAAAGCAGTACTCCGTATATACTCGAGACAAAATGGCATCATAGCGAACACATTTTAATGATGCTTAAATTTATATTCAGTGCGCTATATTTTCTTTAAAATATGACCCTGTTTGCTTTCTAAATACAACAAAATTACTGCTTTACCTTCTGTTCAAATAGTTCCACAGATAAATCGAAGTCACATTTCGTACTACTTGAAAAAAAGCTGTTTTTACTGTAGGAATGACAACTTCCCAATATAATTTTCTATTGTCAACATTGCATTACACTTGTTTAGCTCGCGCATGCGCAATAAAAAAGATGGGACATGTTTCCGCTCGAGTGAGACTTCTGGTATTATCTCTTCTGTGACGGCACGTCTAATTTAATGGTTTAGGTTCTAACTTGTACTATTCGTGTAAGGAAACATAATAATTGATTATGGCGGGCCTTGGCGACATTTTATAATAACCTGCACCGTAGATCTTTCTGTGGTGCATTCATTGCTCTGTATCTTTTGCGATGATACCTAATTATGAGATGTCGATCATCGTAGCTTCGTCGAAAAGTAAGTAATTTTATTTTACAAACTGCGAAGTCGTATTTTGAACATACTATAGATGACTTTCTTTATTTATAGTCTATATATGTACTATTTAAAACACGAGTAGTAGTGTTTTATCAGATATAAAATGCGAGGCGCAGTTTTATATCTGATAAAACACGACAACGAGTGTTTTGAATAGCTTAAAATACGACTACAAAAGAATACTAATTAGGATGAACCATTATATTATAATGCTAATTAGGATGAACAATTATAGAATGCCACATGTGTTTTATCAGATATAAAGTCACTCCACGTGACATATTATGGCTGACATGATTTGCCACAAGGTTTATGAATTATTAATGAGTATTTTAAATAGTACATATATAACTACAGACGGTACTGTTTCGGCCTTTAGGATACCTAGTGTACTTCACTAGGCTAGTGAGAGGTATTCTGTACTTTAGCACTCGCCAGTTATCATGAATGTATCTTTGATAATAAGATCTAAGTTTGATTTCATATACAACATTTAATGGCGTGTGATTGTCTAATTTGACTGAGTTTCACAAAGAAACACATTGGAGAAGATAGCCAGAAGGCTGCCTTAACAACATAATTTAGGTAATTCTCATTGGAATAATGCGTTGTAATTCCATATATATATAAACCCCAAATAACCAAGCCTCATTAGTACTGGTGAGAGATGGTGCCCTAACAGCACATGCCCTTGGTGTTTTTGTACATGTATTTATAAAAAAAAAACATGCAGGAAACTAACAAATAAATAAGGAATAGACTAGAATGGACGACAAACTCAAAGTGCAAAATTGGGCATGCTTGTGCGAGATTATGCGACATTAGGCGAAATTAGGCGACATTAGGCGAATTTAGGCGACATTAAGCGAATAGACTGTTAGGCAAAGTTCAAAAATCGGGTGCACATTGGCGAAATTGGGCGAAATTAGGCGACCTTGGCCCCAAAAGTAAGCCTGTTTGAAATGTTCTTATATATTATTATAAAACGTTTATGCTCCAAAAGTCATGGCGATATACTCGCATTTCTTTACTATGGCCAATTTGAACATTGTACATCGACTCTTTGTTCCTCGTGGGGGATCGCCATACTATAATAACCTGTGAAAAGTGCCGATTGCCTCTATGAAAGTAGCTGTGCAGACAACGTTTAGCATGTGCATGATTCCATTTCTTTTTAAACTTTGTAGCTATGTTCTATAACAGTAGCTAATTGGTTCAAATAGACCGGAAAATATTCGCACGTTCGAGTGAATAGCCATTTTCTGAGCAAACCATGTTATCACGTTTGACCAATTTAACTACGTTTATAGTGTTGGATATGTTTTTACATTCATTATACAAAGCTTTCAATGATGATATGGAATAAGGTGCAAATCAAATTTACCAAAAGTCCAATAAATAGCTTACTTTCAACCACACGTGTATATATGTCTTCCTTAATTAATTTTCCTTTACTTACAGTGTAAATATAAATTTTGCATCGCCTGGAATGATTGGTAATAAGGTTAAAATTTCGGTTATCTAC